TATTGTGATTATGCCATAATAAATAAATTGTCTATAAATATTTAATAGAACTAAATATTATATAATGGATTGAATAGAACTTATAAAAATAAAATTTAATAATATAATCATTAATCATATTTAAACATTTCCCACTGAAAAATTAAACTACTTTAATTTTTATAAAATAAAAGTATCTTTATAATCAATCTATAAACTTGTAAACTTTTTTATTTTTATATAGATATATTATATATGCAATAATTTTTTTGTAATTTTGAACTTTAATTGTATTTATGTTGCTGATTTATCATTTAGGCATCGCTTATATAGTAATATCAATATAATTTTACATAATCTGTTTTTACATATAGAAAAGGCACAAAGTAACTGTCAAAATATAAAACATCTCATCCTAAAAGCCTCTGTTGTACAGCTGTTATAGTATTTATTCTTCAATATTAATTGAAGAATTATAGGCAAACGAATCCTGTAGTATAAGCTGCTTTCATTTTTAGTTTTAATGAAGGTTACTTTATTTTAATTTATCTCACAAATTCACTTTTATAGAACTTTAGAACTCTTAATATTTGTGTGTATTTTTAGAATTTATAAGTTGCTATACTTAATTAAAGTTTTTAATGAGTTAATAATAAGAGATGAGATTGATTGGAACAGAAAAAATCTACTTGAACAAATCAAAAATATATTGAAGATTCTTGGGATATTTTATAAAGATTCAAACTGATTTTAAAATAATTCAAAACCTGCATTTAATAATATAAATAAAACGAATAACCGCCTAAAACCTTGATACTTCTTCATTATAAAAATTATTTACCACCAAGTTAGAATTAATAAGAAATATTTTAAATAATAATTAACTACTTTCTGATATGAGTTAAGAAGAGATAATAGGAGAAGTTGCAGGTAGATAAGTTTATGTTCATACTTTTGAAATCTCCCCTAAACTTTAGCTTCTTATGAAAAAATTATAAGATGAAATTTTAGAGTAAAATAAAAGCTAAATAATTGTAGACTTGTACTTTTAAAAATAGAAAGAAAACAGAATTATTTTATTTATTTTAACTATGACTAGAACTATATTCAATAGTATTTGAAAAATAGGGATGACTATTTTAAACCTTAGTCAGTTATAGAGAAAGTGTGAGATTTTGTTTACCTGTTCAATTTAAGAGGGATGCCAATTATAGAATAATTCTGTTCATTAATAATGCTCCCATAGCTTATTTTTTTTAATATGCTTCCAATCAAAGATGCTTATTCTGAAATGAAATCAGTTTATGTAACATACAAAGCCTAGCTTTTAAAGTTGGAATATGATATAGTACATAACAAGTGATTCAATTATTAAAAAATTGCAGATGATTTGTCTAATACCCATTTAAATTAATGAAAGATCCAAATGATTATGATCAAGATTAATATCCAATTTCTATTATTATGGACTTTGTATTATTGGCTAAAATCTATAGTAAATTATACTAATGAAAATAATTCATAGCAAAAGCATTTTTAGGAACAATATTTTAAAGTGTTATTGGTTCATCAAAATATTAAATGTTAGAGTATAGTATTAATTAATTAAATGATACTATCAAATTAATTAGTTTAAGCCTTTTTGATCAATTTTTAGAATAAGTGTTTTATGCATTAAATGAATGTGATTTTTTACAATAATTGATTTTGAAAGATTAATCTTAGCTGATTTTAATATTTTAGGATAAAAAAGTTATTGAATAGACTATTTAATTGTAATTTTCTAGTAATTTTAATAAAAAATACCTCTAATTTTAAGGATTTATTAAAAATACTTAAAATTAAAATTGTAATAAAATTTTAAAGAAAAAATATTTTAAATTAAAAAATTGCAAATCACTCATCTCTTTTATTTTTAAGATGGTTAAAATATTATTTCCAATAAAACAAAATATTTTCAGTGGCATATAAGAAATTATCCAATTTATTTTTCCATCCTTTACTGTTTAAGAGAATTTTCCTCTGTCTATATATATACTCGCAGATTTTTGTTCCAGAGATTAAATGAAAAATTATTTTGTAGCTGCATTTACCATTAAATACTATCCGTAAATATCTTTGTTTGTGGCTAAATCAATTTAACTATTATATTCATTTAAATGAAAAGAATTTAATATTTAAATAATATTCTTTTATTTTGCAATCAAAAAGTAAATATAACTTAAAATTCTATAAATTAGGTGATAATAGCAAAAGAATAATAAATTAAGTTTTTGTAAAGTACATAATATTTTTTTGAAATAAGAGAAGGGTTATGTTTTGTTAACTATTCAGAAAGTAATAGTGAGACATTTATTTAATGTATATACTATGCTGAATTATAGGGAAATAATGATTTTTGTGAATTTCTGGTATTATTTATAGATGATTGAAAAAACTTCAAAAGCGAAGGTAAATTCTTCTCATGTAAATTATATAGGAAAAGTGAAAGTACCTCTTTTTATTCTAATCCTCCAAAATCATCCAGATCTTATTATCAACCGTAGATAAAAATAGTGTTTTAATTGAATGTAATAGGCAGACTTTAATATTTTGAATATCTGATATATCAGACTAAGCTTATTCTATCCATTTTTATATATCTGATCTGCTCTTTGAGAGTGGTTTATTCCAAAAAATTTAATACCTTATATATTATTAATAAAACATTTGATTTGTTTAATGAATACAAACATTCACTTTTACTTAATTGTAATAATAATTAATGCAAAATTTTTGACGATTAATAACCAGATTTCAATTCAAACCAATTACCATTCTTTATTCCATAAACACTCATTTCTAGAATAAAAAGTATTATATATTAGTATATGATCGCAATTTCTTTTTTGTAAATCTTAAACAAAAGTGATAGCCTAAGATTTCTTAACTATACATCATACTATCCGCCACCATTAATTATTAGTAATATTATCATAAATTATAATTACATATTATCAAATTACTATCGCCAAGGATGCCAAATAATAGAATTCCAAATCCCACACTTTAAACCATTGTTATATTTTCTTCTGAAAATGAATTAACATCCACTTGAATATTAAAATAACAATAAGTTGCATACTCACAAAACCCATCACTTAAATCTACCCAATATCCATCCTTCTATCCATTTTTATCATATACTCCACCACCTCTAAATTATATAAATATTAATTATTATTACATATATTCTGTCTCAATAAAATATTCCATATTCCATCTTTTTTACCATCAATATATTCACCATTATAAGTTACTTAATTTTCACTATGATATTAATTTATTATTTATAAATCCAAAAGTCATCACTTAGTTCTATCCATCTACCATACTTCATTCCTTATATTATCCTCCACCTCTTTGAAATATTATTTAAAATACATTTATTTCTTTCCTAGCATTATTTTCCAAAATCCCCTTTTCATATTGTTTTAATAAACTCCAATATATGAGATTTCAGCTTTACTTTTAAAATTAAATTATTCATTACCTCCAATAATTATCAATAGCTTCTTGCCATATTCCTTATTTTATTTTCTCCTCAAAATAATAACCAAAACTTAAAATTTATTTAGCTTTCCAAGTAGTCATTTTCCAATTTATTTTGGTTCTTTTATATACTTAATTTTCAAATTTAGATAGGTTATTTATTCTAGAGTTTTCAATATTTTTGGTTAGAAATAAAAACTATCAATTTCCTCACTATATTTATAAGGGTGATTAATATATTACATTCTTAAAACATATCCTACATAAGTATATACAATTTAATTTTTATTAACAAAATGAATTTTAATTATTACTCTTATCTCAAATCCATTATAAATCTTTTTTAAAGCTAAATACTCTATATTGTCAAGCTGAGATTTTTTCATATTTATCATTAATAATAACAATTTTACATAATTGATATTTAAATAAAAATTAGACAAATTTGTATATTAATTAGAAAATGCATAAATTTCAATTAATTCTGATATTATAAATTGATTTGATAGGAAATGTATTATCCAACCTGAAAGATGAGAAAAACTTATATATGAATTCGTTTTTTTCTACTTGGATTAATGAAAAATGTTACTAAATTTTAATTTTGTGAAACTTTAAGTAATTATTTTTCTTACAACTATCTGTGCATTTCTTTATCTTAAAAAATAGCATTGATTTATCAATATTATACTTCTACTTATAAAATATTATGTTGTAGTATTAATTTAATTTTACATAGAAGTATTCCTTTTTTCAAATACATCCAAAAGGATTTAAGTTTTGATTTACAAATCATATTGATTAATTCCTTTAAATTTGTAATTGGGATTAGGATATCTTCTAATATTCTGCAAATTTAATTGCTTCTTAATCTGTAAATTTCTATCCGTTTATAATGTATATTCAACCAAACTTTAAGAGAATCAGAGAATAAGGATGTTAAAAATATATTAAAGAGTAATATTAAATTTAATAAAGTTAAAAAGAAAAGGAAACAAAGATTTGAAGGAAATACTAATATGATTCATTAATATTAAAATCTTTAATGATCGAAAATGATTGTGGATTTATATAAATATATATATTGAATTGTTCAAGTGATCATGAGACATCATAATTTAATTATGAATAAAAAACTGAAAATAAACTTCATAGATGAATTCAGAAAAAATAATTAAAGCCTAAAGAGTATAAAATTAAATCATTAATAAAAAAATTGAATTATTAATTATGCTTTAACCAAAAATGATAGAATTAGATATTAGCTTAACTGCAGTTAAAATCATAAGTAACCAATACTCATGATTTTATTTGATAAAAAGATAAAGATGGAAGAACGTCTTTTGTGTGCACATTCCCTAGAAAATATTGAATAAAATAGTAAAATCATTGGATTTAAAAAGGCACTTAAAATGATTGAAGAAAAATAATAGTCTAAATTAAATAATATATAAGGATTCATAAAAACCAATTAGGAAATAGTGGATAATTAATCAACCAAATTCATAAATTAAAATCAAACTTAATTAATATTTAGATAAATTGTTATCTTTTTCGATTGATTGGATTAAAAACCTTAATTTTATTGGGTAATCTTGTTCATCATATAGTTTCCTTGATGAATTAGAAGTATTAATTAATAATCCCAAAGATAATCTAATTATTTTAGATTCATTTATTGAAGAAATTAAATTATTTAATACTTCACTTAGTGCAAAAATTTATATCAAAATATCCAATGTTAAAAGCTAAGATTTTTATTCATAATGTGAAAAAACTTTATAGAATGTAAACTTTTTTCCTCATCTGAAATTATTCGATGATTCAATTAAATTATAAGATTAATTTTATGCATTTTCATTTAATTTATCTAATTCATTTATGATATCAGCATCTGGTTGTTAAATTAAAGTATGGGATTTTGAAGTGGAAGTTTGAATGAAATTACAACTCTTAGCCATCACACTGGCCAGATTACTTGTCTGCAAATTTGTAGAAAGAACAATAGTTTCCTATCAATTGGTTTCATAAATCAATATGTTGTTGGAATTAACTAAATGATAAAGAAAGGAAGAATTCCTAATTATGTTGCATACTGATTGCATAGATTGTTTGATTTTAAATCAATCTGAAGACCAACTTATTTCAGGAGGATGAGATCATTCAATTAAAGTTTGGAAAGTTGATTTTTTAGAGAGTCAATTATACTATTTATATTCATTGAATAAAAATACAAATGAAATTTATTGTTTATGTTTAATCTGAAAATACATTGATTTATACGGATTGCTTTTAAATATTAATTTGGAAGAAAGATAATGAACAGAAATGGTAATTTGAAAACTTAGTTATTATCATAGATTCAGTAATTTAATAACATTTTCTTAATTTAAAAAAATACTAAATAATAATTTTGATATAATTAACCCTAAATACTAAACTTATAATTGATAGAAAGATAGTTGTGTAAATTCAGAGACAGCTACTTATAGTGATTATTATGGTATTTCATTATTTTGTCAAGGAGTAAAAATTAAAAATTAAGTTGACAAATATTTTTATTGTACAGCAACACCAGCAATATTCAAAATAAGAAAATCGTCAGATAATGCAGATGCTAATACAACTGAAATATGCAAAAAAATAAAACCTGTTTTTTTGCTAAATATACAGGAGGATGTGTTGATAAGACAACTATCTTATGTTTATTATAAACAAGAACTAGGTAAAAAATGTCACAATTTCTCAGATAATTCAGAAAAATATTATTGCCCGCTTAGACAGAACTTGGACAGATATCAAAAATCCAAATAGTTATTCAGGCTGCATCAATTATAAATCCATTTTCAGATTCTTGATAATATCAATTAAATAGCATTTAAAGAAGGTTGCTGATTTTCTTATGAAAAATGTAGTGCTAATAAAATATCAGAAATTGATTGTAAGACATTATTTTCCTACTGATGCTGTTGTAGCAGTGGAAAAGCAATATTCTTGTTTAACAACGATTAATTCTGCACAAAATAATAGATGTGTTGCTTAATGTGCACTCAAAATATGCCACACCCCCTAATGATCCAAGTTAAAAATTTCCCTATTTTAATAGAAAAGTAAATACTAGTAATTAGAAAGTGTGCCTATACCAAAGTTACACTAGCCAGTATATATTATGATTGTCAGATATTCTCATCCGACATCAAAAATTTCATGTGATTGAAGAAATGCATATATAAATCAAAAACCTGTTATAATAAAATAATGGATTTGTTATGGTTTCAGCGTCAGAAACAAGTAAAAAAAGATGTTTATTGTAAATTATTAACATCTAATAACTTATCTTTTTTATTCCAAGATTAGCAGCTGTAAAATTATGATGTCAGAATGTCACAAGTAATGTAACTATATGAGATACATTAAAAGACAAAACCTATTTAGAGTATACTTAGATTTGGGAAAATAAATGTGCTACACTAGGTGCTTGTACAAGTTATGATGGTATAAATATAAATGCAGATGATAATTTATTAATACTGAAAAATTTATATATTTTTTAAATATATTACCAAAAAATCAGAGCCTAGACATGTGAGGACAACCGTAATAATTAAAGTGGATGCGCAAAAAATGTTGAAGATTGCTTATACTATTAAACTAAAAGTTAAGAAAAAATCACTTTTGCATTATGTACACTCCCAGAAGATTAAGCATCTGATACTGAAAATAAGGATTGTGTGAAGGAATTACCGATACAAGAGACTATAAATGCAAATTGGATAGTATAAAATGTGCAAATAGAGAATGCAGCGATTTACCAACAGCCAACTTAACTTTTACACTATTTCTGATTAAAAGTTATTTAAAAATTTGTAAGACTAATGGTTAAAAATATGTAGATACAATAATTGGTTGTTCTGAATATAAGGCTGATACAATTTGTAAAATTACTTCATATTTCTTGATACTAAAACTGGAAGATGAGGAAGTTGTGGATGAGAAGCAATTAATGTAGAAATAGAATTTTCAAAATTGAATGGAAAGGTTGATGCTAAATGTGATGCACATTAGAGTGGTTGTAAAAAAAATGGAAATAATGTGCTTAAGGATTATCTTATCCTGAATTGGCTTCAATACATAATAATGTTGTTACTCACCAAAGAGTAGACCTTGTCTCTGGGTTCAGGTTAATTAAACCTGCCATAATGATGATTGATGGGAAGTTTCTTTAGTATTTTAGTTTTTTAAAAGAAAAAGAGTTCATCAATAAAATTAAAAATTAGTTAGTTTCAAAACTCGCCAGTTTGTTATTTGAGATATCTAGTGCTTCATTTCTTATTTGTATAATAATTACAAGAGTAAATCTTAAAATTCAAGAATAATTTTAATAGTTGTTATCATTTATTAATTCAGTTTGGATAGAAATAAATTATCTAAATTTATATCAACTGAATAAACTATTTCAACATTAGAACCATTGGATTTCGAGAAATGCTCTAAATTTAATATAATTTATTATTTAAAATTCAAATTTAATAATAATACAATACTAAATAAATTGATTATTAACATAGGAACTCATTTGAACCGATTTGGAATATACAGATAGAGGATATCTCAACGAAGCTGCTTCCTAAACACTGCGATGTATAAAGTGGAAAGCCACTCGG